AGATTATTCTCATGAACTTAAATAATGTTACTTAATAAAGGAAAATACTTATTAATGAACTTTGTGTTGTTGATTACTTGCACTTCTTCTTATTGGATTATTGCCTAAATGCAATTCATTTAAGTTTAACACTTATTAAAACTTCGTTTGAATCAAGTTTCCAGTGATTCCCTCTTTTCTTAAAGCTACAGTATTGATACTTTAAAGATTCTCCGTTTTTTCACAATTGTAATTAGGGAGTTTTGCAGTTGAGTTCCAATCCAAATCACCCAAGTAGCGTAACAGTCATACAGAGATGGAAGAAAGGCAAGCAGTGACATGTTGCAAGACAGCAGGGGTAAGGTCCAAGGAGGAGAGACATATCTGAGTGTTATCAGTGTACAGGTGGTAGTGGAATCCAAATGAGGTCATAAGTTTGGATTGTGACAGATCCCCCTATCCCTGGATTATCATACTGTTAATTTCTGCTTATTTGTTACACTGGGTAGTTCGGTATATGGGATTCACTGAACATTTGAGACCCATCTGGTTCATATGCCGAACAAACTACCGAACAGTCAGACCACCCAGGGGAGGCGTGTGCTGCTCATTGACCCTTTTCACCCTTGTTCGATCCTCAGTAACGACAAATACCTCAGCGTTCTGAGCGCTCGGCAGGGTGGCCGTCATTTGTATGGACGAAGATGTGGTGGCGGTCATCTTTAGCCACGAATGCATTCAGCTGTGTTTTGTCATCGAGTGCATGGAACTCAAATTGGACACTCGATGGCGCGAATACCACTAGAACTTCAACTTCCATCGAAGTTCAGTAAAACGTGTGGGAATTGAATGACGTTCGGTGGGAGCAAGTTCACGAAAAAGGGACATAGACTGAGCATACCCATGAACCGTTACGTTAAATACTTTTATTGTATTTTGTACTCCTGAAAGATACCGACCGCACAGCAGGAGCCTCGTGTGCAGCTGGTCAAACTATGACTTCCATTGAAATCCCGAACCCTTGAACCGATCTGGGTGATTTTTGGATATGTTGGTCCCCCAGATTGGGGCTATCAGGGAATGTGACTTTTGTGGGGTTTCCATGTGTTTCAGGGGTACTTACAGGATATTGTAAAATATATGTTTACTATGCCTGGAGATAATTGAGTTTAGTACAGTGCGTGACTCAATTATCTCAGGCACAGGGGAGGGATTACCCTGTTTTGTATGGGAGTGTCCTGGACCTGAGAGCCAATGTAATTGCAGTGTGTATTTTGTCATAGTCCCCTCTAGTGTTCAGTGAGGAATGCCCCTGGAATTTGTCATGGAAAACCCCTTGCATGGGGACTTGCATATAAGGCCAGTTGTGGCTACCAATAAATTAGTTCCTGCTTACCCTCAACATAGTCTCATGTTTGTAGGGAGCAGCTTTATGATTTGGATTATCATGCTTGGGATTATTGTAGCATCACTCTGAATAGAGGTAAAGAACATCTCTGACAACGAAACCCCTCTTCCTCTTGGGGTGGCCGCCACAGGGACCAAGGACAGAGATTGAAGAATTTGAAGAAGGAGAGTATGATCAACAGTGTCAAAGGCAGCAAAGAGGTCAAGAAGAATTAGTATGGAGTAGTGGCCTTTGGAATTAGCTGCAATTAGGTCGTTAGTAACTTTGATAAGAGTCTCAGTAGAGTGGAGGGGGTGGAAGCTAGATTGAAGAGGGTCAAGGAGAGAGTTGGAATTGAGAAGGTGAGACATACAGGTAAAGACAAGTCTTTCCAGAAGCTTTGAAGAAAAAAGGGAGCAGGGATATGGGATGATAGTTAGAAGGGGCGGATGTGGGGGGCGGGGCCTGACTGTAGAGCTGAACAGACGTGTCTGTCTGTAGCTCTAGCATTGCCGAGCTAAATCGTCTGTTTTCTGCACTGACAAAGGCCGAGACCTGACTTAACTTACCACCCAAACGACAGAGGACTGGGAGACCTACACGATGATACCAAATATGTGGTGTTACTCAGCAGACCCACGAACTCGGAGGCCGCGGCCTACCAGCCTGGATGGTGCGAGGGAGACGGCCGCTCCTGACCATCATACCCAGCTGTACACGCCAGCGTGGAGCCCCGCCTTCCCCCGCATGGACCGGCGGGCGTTATCCCGGTCCCCACCAACCCAAAGCATGCGGCTACACCGCATCCTGTAATCCATCCAGATGCCAACATGACTCTCACCTGGACGAACAAAATGGCGGCCGCACCCTGGTCGGCTGGGCCAACGCCTCATCAACTAAAAGGCAACTATGCGGAAGACGCACTCAAACGCCTAGACAGAATATTTGAAAACTTTTGGGACCAACCACACCAGCGCCTGGCACAGCCGCCACCTCCAGCAAACCATGAGGTAAAGTTGTGGGGGACGGGAGGGTGACTCACCATGAGCACACTACACTCCCAAGATAGCCCACCCAGACCAAAGGAAGACCGAAGACTTACCCCAAAGCACCGCAAGCGGACCCCTCACCACCAGTGGAGATGAAATACCGCCACCTTCCATACCACCCACAGAGGGACAGACACGGCATCATGGAGCCACCGACTCTGCGGAGAGAGGATGCAGGCTAGCCACAAAGCCCGGGACTGGATGGAGACCTTTGCTATGCCCATACCGCATCATTGCCCTGAAGGGCCCCGGGGTGCCTGCCATCATGCTGCCCCTACTCACACAGCAACGCAAGACCTCGACCCAGCTCTGCTCTTCTTTTGTAAGGAAGGACTTGGACTTTGCAAGGTCCCAAGTCAGTGGTTCTGAGAAACAGACCTCAACACGGGCCTGGGGCTTTGGGGCTTTGAGGCTTCCTCACCTCAACCCCCACTCAAGCGACTCGACCACAGCTCCTCAGTACCTCCCGAATATGGGAATCAGCTGAGCCGGGACTCACTCCATCAAACAGTGCTGGCCTCACAAGCCTCCTGGACACCAGCATTGTAATTCCACTGCAGCATACATATCACCTACGATTGCAAACACTTATTATTAAGCTATGTTATATGTTAACCACGTTGTTTCATCTATACCTATCTCATTCTTGACAGATATACATTTTACTCAGTTCTTTAATATGAAGCCTCCATCTGATGCCCACGAGTGGGGACCTGTGCCAGTTCACTCTTGTATGTTATTAATATTATTATGTATATTACTGCTAGTCTTTTATTATAAAGACTGTCCACTGGCTCACTCTTTAGTAGACATGCTCCCACTCATGGCATATAAAGTGGGGGCATGGGGAGGTTTAAAACCTCCCTTGTACTAAAACTAGACAAAGACCTCATTGCAGGTCGAAACGTTGCTGTTTGTTTTTATTTTTCAATAAAAATGCTACTTTACCAAGTATTGCCAGCCTGGTTTGCACCAAAGATCATCAATATATGTGTCCAGAATTCCTCCTCCTTAGGAACAATATTGTACTAATGTGTGCAAAAAAACCACAGAAAACAAAAAATTTTCAGCATCTATGTTATATGTTCAAGGCCTCAAAAAATGGCACTGGTTCTGATAATTCATTTTAAAGTATATTATACATTTTTGGTCTCCATCAAGTTTTTTGCTTAAAGGGACATGCATCACTCAAAATCTTTAGCTTTGCATGAGACATGACAATTGCATAGTCACCATATAGGCAGGGGAAGGATATTAGAGCCTAAACCCAAACCCAACCAATAAAACATTGATACTCTTATGTATGGGTCAAAATGTTCACAGCTTTAATAATAATTATAAAGTTAATAACTTATCATATACAAAATATACTAAGGTCATTGTCTGCCCCAACCCCCAATATTATAACATCTCCCACATGTTAAATCGAAGGCAATGATCCATAACATAAACATTTCTTTACAATTTATAACAACCACATAAATATAAACATGTAAAGTGCCAACATTTCCTTTGTTTACTCCTAGTAGGGGTATACCCAGATACCCCTACACCACCGAGGTTTGGAGCCACCGACGGGCTTGAAACCTACCAAAACTTGTACGAACAGTGTACCATTTGAACCAGCCAAATAACTGCCCTTACTCCTATATTAACTAAGAAGGCCCATTTTCCCCTTTACCTTCCTTACCCCACCACGCCACTGTGACCAAACAGGGAAATAACACCTCGCTAAATAGGGAGGGAGGGGCCTATTCTGCCAGGTAAGAGTTAAATGCTGGCTTGCTATTGAGGCTTGGCAGTACTTGGCATATTTCCACCCAGAATCCTTTGCGGTAGTAACATCGCTGCACATTTGTGATTTCTGTGGGAAAAGCAAGTCTTATGGCTTGACTGGTGTACAGATTTTTGTTTAGCATTGTGTTGACTATCCACAGAAGTCAAATAGAAGGGGTTTTCAATCAAAAATTTTCCCCACCATAACTTTTTTGGCTTTTGCTTTGCAAGTACTGCCAAGCCTCAGTAGCAAGCCAGTAACCAACCTCATGCTGATGATTTGCATTAACAATGAAACAGCTATCCATTAGTGGTTCACTGGCAATGCATCTTTTTCTAAGTTGTGTTTCAAAGCTGTTGTATACAGCAAACAAAGACTCAAAGGAATCCATGTTTAAAATGGAAAGAGGCAAAAATGTGATTCTTTGTTGAACTAATTTGCATATGCCTACCCAGAATCCTTTGCGGTAGTAACATCACTGCACATTTGTGATTTCTGTGGGAAAAGCAAGTCTTATGGCTTGACTGGTGTGCAGATTTTTGTTTAACATAGTATTGACTATCCACAGACTTCATGTGGAAGGGGTTTTCAATCACAATTTATATATATATATATATATATATATATATATATATATATATAGCAATTAAATGTTGATAATACTTTAAACTTGTTTGCCCACTTCAGCTACTGCTCCTGTTTTATTAGAATTGTCTATCTTGCTTTACCAATAGAGCTGTGGAATTTGTTGGTGCTATATAAACAAGTGTACCTAAAGTGAATTGCCTATCCATCCTCTCCTCTTTAGGTATCAACCATGATTTAGATGGTGGAAGATCATGGACAGCTGGTGACCTTCTCGTGTATTGTTTGGAAGATCTGGGAAAGTATGATTTCAAACGATTTAAGGATAAATTGTCAGATTTTGTATATAGGGAAATAACTTCAATCCCACGTGGAATTCTTGAAAAGGCAGACTTCATATCCACAAAGAATCGCCTTATGGATACTTATGGAGAGGAGGCTCTAGATGTAACAATCAAAGTGCTTCAGTTAATTGGTCTTATGGGACCTGCACAAAAACTCCAAGAGGGTATAGAAAACCTGTGTGAGTATGAATATGTAAAATATTACACAACGCTCAATATTTAATCATTAGTAATATAGACTGGCATCCTAAGTACTTCAATGTTTCTAGTTCTTTAAGGACCATGCAAAACACCTAAAGTTAGTTAGCTTGCTGAAGTGCTTTATATGTGTAGAGTGTGTCTTTTTTTTATTTTACAAAAAGTTCAGGCTTCAATAGAAAATTATGCTTTTATAAATTAAGTTGCTAAAATCCTCTGACTGTCAATCAGACAAACAACCCTCTAACTTCCTGGTAGTTAAGCTCAGTGGAACTAAACTCAAGAGACAGACAATTGCCCAGAGCCTTACAAAGAATTATCAGTGAACTGCATTGGAAAGCCTGTGATTGGACAGCCAAAAACAATCTGGGCTAGGCAGGGCCGGATTAACATAGGGGCTGATGGAGCTGCAGCTCCAGGCCCAGGCCCATGGAATAGGCCCATTTAAAAAAAAAAAAAAAATTTTTTTTTCACACTAATCTTAGGTTTGCCACCTGACTGGTATTTTAATGGCACAGGCGGTATTTGAGGCTGCCTGGCCGTGCCGGTATTGCAGTAATACCAGCAATACAAATACAGGTAATTTTCTCAGAATAAATGGAAATTACTACACTACCAGCACCGGCCAGTAGGGGTCACTGTGTGTGGAGAGAGGCAGGTATAGGAAGTTACAGAATATCCCTGCCTCTCTCTACTACTTACTGATCCCTGGGAGAGCAGCTACACAGCGCAGACAGTCCAGACAGCAGCTTTACAGCTCAGGTAAGTGAGGGATGGGGGGAAAGGCAGCAGGGACACATGGAGACACAGACACTAGGGGACACATGGGGACACAGACACTAGGGGACACATGGGGACACTGAGACACTAGGGGACACAGACACTAGGGGACACATGATGACACATACACTAGGGGACACTGAGACACTAGGACACAGACACTGGGAGACCTGGGAACACAGACACTTGGGGACACTGGAAAACATGGGGACACTGAGACACTAGGGGACACTGGAAAACATGGGGACACTGAGACACTAGGCGACACAGACACTTGGGGACATATGGGACACTGAGACACTAGGGGACACAGACACTAGGGGGCACTAAGACACTAGGGGGCACTAAGACACTAGGACACATGGGGACACAGACACTTGGGGACACTGGAAAACATGGGGACACTGGGACACATGAGGATGCTGAGACACATGGGGACATTGGGAGACACTATGTTCCCATGTCCCCCAGCCAGTGTCCCTAGTGTCTCAGTGTCCCCAGTCTCCCAGTGTCTGTGTTCCATGTCTCTCAGTGTGCCTAGTGTCCCCATGTCTTTGTCCACAACTGTCCCCATGTCTCCCCAAGTGTCTCTCCCAGCCAGTGTCCCCTAGTCTCCCAGTGTCCCCTCAGGGCCGGCGCGTCCATAAGGCGGCACAGGCGGCCGCCTTAGGGCGCACGAGCTCTGGGGGCGCAATATTTCAGTGACCGGCAGGAGGGAAGCTCTCCCTCCTGCCAGGCCACCATCTCGACCCCCGGCGCAGCGCGCGGCAGTGCTGTGATCAGGCGGGCGAGGGAGCTCTAATCTCCACCCTCTGCTCCCTCGCGCGCTGCCTACTGATGCCGCGGGAGCCGGAATATGACGTCATCAGTAGGCAGCCCGCGAGGGAGCAGAGGATGGAGATTAGAGCTCCCTCGCGCGCCTGATCACAGCACTGCCGCGCGCCTCTCAGCAGCCCCAGCCCTCAGGGACTGATCCAGCATCCACACCAGCTCTCCAGGTAGGGAGGCTGGGTGGAAAATGTTTATTTATAAAATTATTAGTGAATGTATGTGATGTGTGTCTGTGTGTGTGTGTCTGTGAGTGACAGTGTGTGTGTCTGTGTGTGTGTGTCTGTGAGTGACAGTGTGTGTCTGTGAGTGTGTGTCTGTGAGTGACAGTGTGTGTGTGTGTGTCTGTGAGTGACAGTGTGTGTGTCTGTGTGTGTGTCTGTGAGTGACAGTGTGTGTGTGTGTGTCTGTGAGTGACTGAGCGTGTGTCTGTGTGTGTCTGTGAGTGACAGTGTGTGTGTCCATGAATGACTGTGTGCGTCTCTGTGTGTGTCTGTGAGTGACAGCGTGTGTCTGTGAGTGACAGCGTGTGTGTCTGTGAGTGACAGCGTGTGTGTGTGATTGTATGAGTGTGTGTGCATGTGTGTGTCTGAGTGACTGAGCATGTGTCTGTGAGTGACAGTGTGTGTGTGTGTCTGAGTGATTGTATGAGTGTGTGTGTCTAAGTGACTGAGCGTGTGTCTGTGAGTGACAGCATGTGTGTCTGTGAGTGACAGCATGTGTGTCTGTGAGTGACAGCATGTGTGTCTGAGTGACTGAGTGTGTGTGTGTGAGTGAGTGATTGTATGAGTGTGTGTGTCTGAGTGACTGAGCGTGTGTCTGTGAGTGACAGTGTGTGTGTGTGTGTGTCTGTGAGTGACTGTGTGCTTCGGTGTTTGTCTGTGAGTGACAGTGTGTGTTTGTGAGTGAGTGACTGTCTGTGTGTCTGTGAGTGATTGTATGAGTGTGTGTGCATGTGAGTGTATGAGTGTGTCTGTCAGTGTATGATGAGTGTGTTTGTCAGTGTATGAGTGTGTGTCTGTCAAATCAGTGAGAGTATGTTTGTCATTGAGTCTGTGTGTGACTATCAGTGTGTCTGTCAATGAGTGTCAATCAGTGTGGGTCTGTCAGTGTCAATGAATGAGTGTGTCAGATCAATGAGTCTGTGTCTGTCAGTGACGTCTGTGTGTTTGTCATTGAGTGTGTGACTGTCAGTGTGTACAGAGTGTAGTGGAGCAGAGCGCGGTACAGGAGCTTCTGTTTCCTGTACCTGGCCAGACTGACAGGAGGTGCTCACAGAGAGAGCACTCCCTGTCAGTCCGTCCGGGTACAGAAAACTGAAGCTCCTTTAGGGGATCTGCTCCGCCCGGCAATGCAACAATAGAGGTAGGAGGCACACACCAGGAAGTGTGACCACTAAAGGGGTGGGGGGTGCACCAAGGGACAGGGAGGGAATGGGAGAGAAACACCAAGAGACAGGGGGGAAAGTGGGGAGGGGAGAAGAACACTAAGGGACAGGGAACGGAAGGGACCACTAATGGTCGGGGAGGGGAGAGGGGCTGGTTAAGACGCACATAGGTGAAGATTTTGGGGGGGGGGGGCGGAAAAATGCATCTTCGCCTATGTACCTAAAAATCCAAGCACCGGCCTTGTGTCCCCTAGTCTCCCAGTGTCTGTGTCCCTAGTGTCTTAGTGTCCCCAAATGTTTCAGTGTCTCCATGTCACCCAGTGTCTGTGTTCCTAGTGTCTCAGTGTACCTGGTGTCCCCATGTCTCCCAGTGTCCCTATATGTCCCAGTGTCCACATGTCTATGTCCACAACTGTCCCCATGTCTCCCAGTGTCCTCATGTCTATGTCCACAACTGTCCCCATGTCTCCCAGTGTCCTCATGTCTATGTCCACAACTGTCCCCATGTCTCCCAGTGTCCCCAAGTGTCTGTCTCCCAGCCAGTGTCCCCTAGTCTCCCAGTGTCTGTGTTCCCATGTCTCTGTGTCCTTAGTGTCCCCAAATGTTTCAGTTTCCCCATGTCTCCCAATGTCTGTGTCCCTAGTGTCCCAGTGTCCCCATTTCTCCCAGTGTCCCCATGTCTCTGTGTCCCCATGTCTCTCAGTGTCCCCAGTATCTTAGTGACATGGGGGGACACTGAGACATTGGGACACTGGGAGAAATGGGGACACAGACACTGGGAGACTAGGGGACTGGACGACATGGGGACACTGACACTGTGATACATAGGGACACTGATACACTGGGTGACTTGCGAGACTGAGACACTGGGAGACAGGGAGACACTGGGAGCAATCCATCTATACAGCAGAATCAAACAGTGAGTAGTTTGTTGGTGATTTTACAGAATTTTCTCTGATGTCAATCCTTGTGATTTACATCATGTGATGTCACGCATAACTAATTAATTATACAAATGATTAAGGCTGGAATTTTTTTCCAAGAAGGTGGCAACCTTAACTACTCTTCACATACTCTTGCTTACCCCCTTAAGGACACATGACATGTGTGACATGTCATGATTCCCTTTTATTCCAGAAATTTGGTCCTTAAGGGGTTAAAGGAGCACTATAGGGTCAGGAACACAATCATGTATTTCTGACCCCACTATGTTAAAACCACCACCCTGGCCCCTTCTTGCCTCCCTAAATATAGTAAAATATTACTTGTATTCAATTCTGCAGCTGCTGGCTCAGAAGTGGTGGTCTGAGCAAATTACAATACTTCCCCATAGGATTGGCTGAGACTGTCAACTAGACAGATCAGGGGCAGAGCCAGCACAAGTCCAACATATCCCTGGCCAATCAGCATCTCATCATAAAGATAAATTGAATCAATGCATCTCTATGAGGAAAGTTCAGTGTCTGCATGCAGAGGGTGGAGACACTGAATGGCAGTGCTGCACACTAGGCAGTACTGCCCCAGGAAGCACCTCTTGCAGCCATCTAAGGAGCGGCCAGTGGAGTTATTTTCTCTGAAAAGACAGTGTTTACTGCAAAAAGCCTGAATGGAATGATTCTACTTACCAGAACAAAAACAATAAGCTGTAGTTGTCCTGGTGACTATAGTGTCCCTTTAAGTTTGGAAGCTTAAGAGGGATGTATGGGAACAAAACTTGTGTGCACTGGCTGATATTAAAATTAGTTTAGGTAATGCAGACGTTGGTCTCTCTAACACTGTGGCATGTCCCCTTTCTTCTATACTCACTACAGACACCTTTTCTCTGTCTCAGACTATATACCAGGAACTTCTGCCTGCTAGTAAGAAGGTAAGGAGACAAGTGCTAGGGGACAGTCCTTAGAAAGAATGGAGTGAGCGCATCATTAGATGCATTTATGTCAAGCTCAAGGTGCTGCCTGCATAGTATGCCCTTAGTTGGCCAGCCTGCAGGATTGGCAGGCAGCCTGACATGCATTCATGCCAGACTGACCTTCCAATTCTTTGGACAAACATGCCCCCTTTTTGGGCATGTTCACCCCTTTTGGCAGGTCTTGTCACGTGATTTGCGCCAGTGGCACACCCTTTTACCCCGCCCATTGACTTCCTGCTTTGTTGGACACTGCTGTTAGGGGTTATGGATTTACTTGAAAGATGAAAGCATAAATTAGAGAAAGATTAGCATAGAGTGTTTGTTTTCTTATAGCTGCATCCTATGAGTTTCCCTCCAGCACCATCTCCATCAGATACATGATGCTTGGGAGGTATGACTGTTTTAGTGTTTTTGGTCGATAAGATTCCGTAATTAGGCCCATCATAATTGTCAGCACCAGGCCCACTGTGCTCTTAATCCGGCCCTGGGGCTAGGGAAGAAGGGGAGGGCTTGAAATTGCTTCAGACAAGAAATCTGCAGCTTTTACAAGCTGGTATTAAATATACCACCAATGGAAAATGTCCAATGAAATACCTGCATGTTTTCATTGGGGGTATATCTTCTTAACAGTGATTTTTCTTTAATATGTATGCATTTGAGCAGTGGAGATTCCCTTTAAGTAACACTGTAAATGACTTGACTACTACACAGCATGAATTACACTAACTATGTTGTGTAAAATGTAGAAAATGAAAAGAGCAATATCTCTCACAGAAACTGTGAAATAAATGGGGGGGAAATGAAAATAACTTTACCTTAACAATCAAAAGTATTTAGAGTATTGCTTGAAAAAAACAAAAAACATCATGCAGTGTTTACAGCAACTATATATAATAATAAAGTAGTGCCTTTGCATTGTACACTTACAATGTTCTGTGTCACTTAACTTGGCTCAAACTGGAAAAGCTTGCTATGTATTTAAATTGTCAAAATAACACTCATGTCTGATAGAGCCTCCAAACTGGCTCTAGGTATAGGAGTAGCACTCCTTAAGAACAAAGAATACCAGCACATAAGGCACTACTCACAATCCAGACATCAATGGGTTAAGGCTGGGTCTTTTGTAATCATTGATACAAAGTACATTGACCTCTGTTTAAAAAACATGGAGACACACATGGACTGTCAGCAACAGCGTAATATTGTATTTAACCTGTGCACAGCCAGAGACCCTGGCTAATGCTCCACTTAACAGATGATCTAACTTAAAAGAACAATATAGGCCCCTCTTGCCTCCCTAAATATAGTAACATCTTACTTATGTTCAAGTCTGTAGCTGCTGCCTCTGACCCTGATCTGCCTGCTGTCTGCTAACATCACCAGACAGCAGCCAATCACAATGCTTCCATTTTAGGATTGGTTAAGACAGTCAAGTAGGCAGTTCAGGGGCAGAGCCAGCACAAAACAAAGACATGCCTGGCCAATCAGCATCTCCTCATAGAGATGCATTCAATCAATGCATCTCTATGAAGAAAGTTCAGTGTCTGCATGCAGGCTGTAATGTAAACTCTGCATTTTTCTAAAAAGACAGTGTTAAATGCAAAAAGCCTGAAGGCTCTACTCACCAGAATAAATACTCACCAGAATGCTGTAGTTGTTCTGGTGACTATAGTCTCCCTTTAAGAATGGGGATACCTTCAAGATATAAGATGACAAAACAAGACTGGAGTTAAAATCTACAGGATCTTTAACCCCTTAAGGACACATGACATGTGTGACATGTAATGATTCCCTTTTATTCCAGAAGTTTGGTCCTTAAGGGGTTAAGGAGGATTACCTCCAAGCCACTAGTAATCGCTTCCTAATTATAAGACCTTAATCCCATAGTAATTACTCTGTTGCAACGGATCCTATGTAACTATAGCATCAGAAAAGAAAATATGTTATAAAAATTGACAGATCTCAACTTTAGTACGATAATGTGACAAAATCCTGGAATAATTGATAAACTCAACAGAAGAAGCTGAGCAAAATTGAAAGTAAAGCTGTAAAAAAAAAAAAAGAATAATCTTTAATTTCCTACTCTGGTAACTTCTGTTATTATTTTTATAGGCTTGACAAGGACTGGGTTTACAACAAAACGCCTGGAAGGTATGTAAATTATGTTTTTATGTCATAAATTTACAGACATTAAAACTGAATGAACTGCAGTAAACATTTACTTGCCTTGGATTTCTATAATGTCTTTGATGCTGGACTGTTAATATTGTATATTTACTGACTGAAGTTTAAAATGTCTATATTCCCTGGGCATATTGCAGCATTACCAGCTCATCATCTGAAGGGGCAGTGGCGTACATACCAGGGTCGCAGGGGTCGCGGCTGCGACTGGGCCCGGCCCACCAGGGGGCCCGGCCGCCCCTGCGACCTGGTATGTACCCACAGGGCCAGCCTCTTCTCCTGGGGGGCCCAGGATGCGGCCACCTCAGGGCCCCCCGAGGCTGGCCCTGCTGACCCCGGAGGGCTGTCTGTCTGGCCGGCGCGTGAAGGAGCACTCTGCTCTGAGTGCTTCCTCTTCAGCTCCCTCACGCACCGCACTGATACCGGAGCCCGAAGATGACGTCATCTTCCGGCGCCGGCATCCCTATGCGGCGCGCGAGGGAGCTGAAGAGGAAGCACTCAGAGCAGAGTGCTCCCTCACGCGCCGGCCACCCAGACAGACAGCAAGCCAGCTGCCGAGGTCAGCAGCACCACTGGACCCCAGGGAATCCCCTCAGCATTCCAAAAGGTAAGGAGGTTGGGGGATTAAATTAAAAAAAAAAAAATGTGTGTGTGTTTGTGTGTCTGTTAGTGTGTGTTAGTGTGTGTGTGTTAGTGTGTCTGTTAGTATGTGTTAGTGTGTGTGTGTTAGCGTGTCTGTTAGTATGTGTGTGTGTGTTAATGTGTGTGTGTTAGTGTGTGTGTGTGTGTTAGTGTGTGTGTTAGTGTGTGTGTGTGTGTGTGTGTTATTGGGTGTGTGTCTGCTAGTGAGTGTGTTACTGTGTGTGTCTGTTACTGAGTGTGTTTGATGTCTGTTAGTGAGTGTGTGATTGTCAGTGAAAGTGTATGTTTTGTGAGTGTGAATGTATGTCTGTCGCTGAGTGTGTCTCTGTCAGTAAATGTGTGTGTCTGTTAGCTAGTGTGTATGCATCTGTTGGTGAGTGTGTGTGTGTGTGTGTCTTCAGCATTTACCTTTCTCCAGTGTCGGACTCCCTTGGCGCTGGGGATCCCTCTGCCTCTCAGCTCCGAATGCGCAAGAGGCGCGCGCGCATTTAAACCGCCCATAGGAAAGCATTACTCAATGCTTTCCTATGGACGTTCAGTGTCTTCTCACTGTGATTTTCACAGTGAGAATCGCGGAAGCTCCTCTAGCAGCTGTCAATGAGACAGCCACCAGAGGCTGGATTAACCCTCAGTGAAACATAGCCGTTTCTCTGAAACTGCTATGTTTTCAGCTGCAAGGTTAAAACTAGAGGGACCTGGCACCCAAACCACTTCATTGAGCTGATGTGATCTGGGTGTCTGTAGTGGTCCTTTAAGTGTGTGTGCATACCACGGTCGCAGGGTCGCAGCCCTGCAACCCCTGCGACCAGGTGCCTGCCGTCATGTGTTGCGGCCCGACCCGCGCAGAGTAAGCGCGGGGGGGAGGGGGGCCCACGGATCAATTTTCGCACCGGGGCCCCATGGGTCATGTGTACGCCACTGTGAAGGGGTAAGCAACCTTTGGTAATAAAGAGGTTGTGGACTACATCTCCCATGATGCTCTTACAGCCACATGCCACATCAGGGGAGATGAAGTCCACAACCTCTTTATTACCAAAGGTTGCTTACCCCTTCAGACATACTTGAAAACGAGAGAAATCTCAAATGTATCTTTCCTGGTAAAATATTTTATAAATAATAAATAATGTAATTCCAAAGGTTGCCTACTCCCGATCTACTGCTTTCTGTGGACAGCTCACAACTAAATTAATAATAAAATACATTGCAAATAGCAAAGTTGTAAAAAAATGCTGTAGCTTATTTATTTTTGTAATTATGCATATAAGAAGCATAGGTAAAATCATGTTTCCTCTCTTTTACAGTGTTTAGAGTAAGATACATGAATTGTGTGAGGCGTAAATTCCAGCATATTCAAGACACTAATGCCCGCCTTGGTGATGCTGTTGCTTTTAAAAAAAGATTCACAAGACTGCTAATGATACAGGAGCATCGCACTGAAGAGGAAAGAGAGCATGAACTAACATTTACTGGAAGGATGCACTTGCGGATAATGGCTAATCGTTCGTCAGATGAATATTCACCAACATCTATTCTATCTCTGTTTGATCCTGATGATGATGAACTAATTCCAGAAATCGTGGTGATACAGGGGCCAGCTGGCATTGGAAAAACTATGACAGCCCAAAAGATCATGCTTGATTGGGCCTGTGGGAACCTGTATCAGAACATGTTCAATTTTGTGTTTTACATGAGTTGTAGGGAAATAAACAACATTAATAATCAAATAAGCATTGCTGGTTTGATATACAAATTATGCCAGCTAAAGTGTCCACCAAATCTGATGAAAGCAGTTTTTGAAGATTCAGATAAAATACTTATTATTGTTGATGGTTTTGATGAATTAAGATGTAAGCTTAGGAATGACATGGAGATGTGTGATGATCCATTTCAAGAGACCTCCAAAGAAATCCTCATCAAAAGTCTGTTTGAAAAGCAGATTCTCGAGGATGCCTCACTTATAATCACAACAAGGCCATTTGCGTTAGACAGACTGAGAGAATATGTAAGTTTTCCCCGTTATGTGGAACTTCTTGGGTTTACAGAGCGTGACCGTGAGGACTACTTCCACAAGTTCTTCCAAAATAAAGAACTAGCAGAAGCAGCTCTAAACATTATTAAAGAAAATGGAACCCTATTTACAATGTGTGTTGTCCCTATAACATGCTGGATTATATGTACTGTAATGAAACAGCAATTAGAAAGGGGTATATATGCAGTCTATGCCAAAACATCCACCTCTGTTTATATGCTCTATGTAAAACATTTATTAAAAGTTCATGGGAGAAATTCTAACTTTAGTTTAATAACATGGGTAAGGAAGCTCTGTGCGCTCGCAAATAATGGAATTTGGGAACAGAAAATCCTGTTTGATGAAGAAGACATTATGGAACAAGGACTTGTAATATCAGACATAGAATCTCTCTTTCTAAATGAAAATATCTTTCAAAGGGACATTGACACTTGCACCTGTTACAGCTTTGTTCATCTAAGTGTACAGGAGTTCTTTGCTGCCTTACATTATGTAATTAAGGAGGACACAGAAAGCAAAGACAGTTCAGAAAATCATCAAATCCATGAGGCATCTGTGGAAACTGAGAACAACCATGATTTGGATGAATTAAAATTACAGAGGAATTTCCAAAACCTCTTGAAGCAGTCCAAACAACATCAACACTTACTCTTAACAGTCCGTTTTCTATACGGACTCTCCAGTGAAACTGAAACACATACACTTCAACAAATGTTTGGGTTTAGCATGTCAAGTGAAATGAGATCTATATTGGAAGAGTGGCTTCAGAAAGAGTTCCCTTTTAATGATCATGAAAACTTGCACTGTTTATACGAGACACAAGATGAATACTTTGTCAACAGGGTTATGTCTCGATATATACAGCTTGAAATTGGTTCAGATTTTAATATGCAAGCTCTTTCATATAGTTTGATGAATAGTTCAAAAAATCACCACATTTGTTTTTTTGAAATTTTCTTTGGTCCAAAGTCCCAGCAAACTTTGACTAACCTGCTTCACAAGTGCTTTGAACTTCAGTAAGTATTGATGTTTATGGCTATAGAATGCTAATTGGTTTACAGAAAATATTTTACCACCTTCTTTATCGTTTTGATACCTTAACTGGCACCATTCTGTCTGTTTTAGTATTTGGTTTTTTTTTCAATGTTTTAGTAAAGCCTGAGGTTTATGGTCAGTGGTAATATTTATTTGCTGTCTCATTCTTGTCATGCCACAGCAGAACAGGTATGTCTCCCTTCAAATATATGTCACAGGTGTTATCTGGTTTAGTAAACAAAAGAGAACAAAACAAAAAGAATCCTTGCACTAAAAAGTTCAATAAACTAAAATGCATTTTTTTAAAACTTAAATAGGTAGGTTACCTATTTAAATTTTAAAAAATGCATTTTAGTTTATTGGACTTTTATTCCCTATCTGAAAATAAAGCATTGAACACACATACATAAATAATAAATACCTGCACTCAAATAAAATAGTACACCAAAAAGATAAATCAACATAATAAATACACCAAACCAATTAAAATAGCAGTAAACTTGTGATTATGTCCAAAAAGTGAAAATTGCTCTCTATTATGTCCTGTAAAGGATTACATTTTTTTTGTGCAAAATTTCTATTTCCATATTAAAAATGTTTTTTTTTTTTAAAAGATACGTTTTACCACACAGGAAACGTGCAACATGTCTTAATACTATCACACCCACTTGAGTGCCCTGCAGGCTGACTTAAGCCAAGATGGAACTAGAAGACTCACATGTGTGAAACCCGTAAAACAAAAGATATGTCTACATTAATATAGTAGAAGATATGGCAAAATACTTGTAGCAGCTCTCTAACTTCATGATTCCATTTGCACATGGATTAACAGGTATAGTCTCTGAAGAGATAGAGATACTGTTTGGTTAATGTCTTCCAGCTAACAGACACCTTTGTCCCTACCATGGGACTTAATTTAAACGCAGGAGTCCATTGACAAAGTGCCACTATAAGAGCAAAATGCATCTGGTTGTTGGGAGGTGTTAATCAAGTGGCATATCTCCACAGAGGCTACCTGAAATATTGCACATTTATTTATGTAGGGTATTATCCAACAAGAAATATCTATTTAAAAAAGATGTATTCTGTGACATGAACATATCAATGAATTGGCAAAAGGTGGCCTAATCTGAATCAATTAAATAGTGTCCATGACAAGATTTGTGTTAATTCCTCTTGGAATTGTCTGTCTTTGTTGATTTTTTTTTCAGGGAACCTAGTTATAAAGTTATAAAGAGCTAGGCCTGATAGGCAGTAGCTGATCACAGTACTGGTAGAGGTGTGGATAACTGCCTGGGAAAGGAGCTGAAGAGGCAAAGACATAGGGGATAATGTCTTCCTGGAAGGAGAGAGCTGCAGCCTGGTCTAGAGTGGAAGACGTTGAAATTTGTCAGATTGGTTATGTTCCCTTTTAGACCGTATGGTAGCCCAGGAATGAGAATTACCCCCATGATGGCATACCATTTGCAAATGGGGTATGTCTAGTCTTCTTTAGTAGCCACTTAGTCACAAACACTGGCCAAAATTGGCGTTCAAATACATTTTTTGCATTTTTCACACACAATAAAATATTAACGCTAACTTTGGCCAGTGTTTGTGACTAAATGGCTACTAATAATGACTGGACATACCCCATTTGCAATACCTTGGGTTGTCTACTATTGCAAATGGTATACCATCATGGGGGTAATTCTCATTCTTGGGCTACCATACGGTCTCAAAGGCAACGTAACCAATCTGGCAAATTTTAATGTGAAAAAACTGAAAAATGTAACATGCTATACTTGACCCTGTAACCTCCCAAAAACACTATAAAACCTGTACATAGGGGTACTGTTTTACACGTGAGACATTACTGAATACAAATGTGTGTATTTTTTTGTAGTAAAAGCAAACAGTATTATGACATTCACCGTTACAATGGCATGCAGAACTAAAAAAAAAACACAATTTCTTAATTTCTAATTTTTTTTATATTTTATACATATTAAATTATGATTCATAGCTAAATATTTGATGTTAAATGAAAGCCCTATTTCTCCTGAATAGAATGATATATAATTAGTGTGGGTGCACTTAATATAAAAGAGGTGAATTACGGTTGAACAGACATATACCGTATATACTCGTGTATAAGTCGATCTCATGTATAGGTCGAATTCAGTTTTGTGACCAACAAATGTGAAATATGCTATGCCTCGTGGATAAGTCGAGGGTAAAACTTGGGGCTATGAAATTCTGTGATTTTTATAATTATATACACACACACTCATACAAACACACACTCTGCATTATATACACACACACTTATACAAACACACACTCTGCATTATATACACACACACTCATACAAACACACACTCTGCATTATATACACACACTCTGTGTATATAATGCAGAGTGTGTATATAATGCAGAGTGTGTGTTTGTGTAGTGTGTGTGAACTGGGTGGGGGGAGGGCATTTTTATTATTATTTTTTTTTTTTTAATATTATTATTTTTTTATTATTTTAATTTTTTTTGTCCCCCCTCCCTGCTTGTTAACTGGTCAGGGAGGGGGGCTATCTTAATCCCTGGTGGTCCAGTGGCATGGGCTGTGAAGTGGGGGGGCCGGCAGGAAGCATTTACTTACCTTTCCTGCAGCTCCTGTCAGCTCCCTTCTCCTCCGTTCCGGTCAGCTCCACTGTAAGTCTCGCGGTCTGGTTGCCGCGCGGATCGTTGACATGGCTCTGACGGCCGCGGCTCTCTAACTTGCCATAATACAGACAGTGACTCGAGTATAAGTCGAGTGGGGGTTTTTAAGCACAAAAAATGTGCTGAAAAACTAGACTTATACTCGAGTATATACTGTAGTCAAATTACAAGTTTTGTTTACGTTTCATTTTGATTAAAACATGTACATTTGGCTCAGTCCTTAAGGGGTTAAAAACAACCTCAGATGAACAACACCACATGACATATTACACTGTGTCATGTTTTAACAAAAATAAATCCAAAATTGAGAAGCCATGTGTGAAAACAAAGTACACCCTTACTGTCTCTATAGGAATTAGGAGGCTAAGTATCTGAAAGGTGCTGATAATGAAACTGATCATCAGCAAGTATGACCACCTCTATAAAAGCTGAAGTTTTAGAAATATACTAGTCTGGAGCATTTATGTGTGTTAACACAATGCCATCCACAATGATCTTAGAGAAACAATTGCTGCTGCCCATCAAACTGGAAAGGGTTATAGGACCATTTTCAAACAATTTAAAGTCTATTATTTACACTGAGTAAGATGATCCAAAAATGGAAATATTCAAGACAGTTGTCAACTTTCCCAGGAGTGGATGTTCCAATAAATTCACCACAAGTCCAGACTGCAGTGCTCAGAGAAATTGCTTTGCTGTTCATCTGGGGTTGTATTTACTTACTTTTAAGACCTGCTAATGAACAGTTGATTATTTTTATGTCCTAATATGTAAAACCATAGAATTCAAAGAGGGTGTACTTGCTATTTCGCATGACCGCCTGTATCAATGGATTTTTTTCTCACAATCTTTTATCACTGGTGCCAATTCTTTAAATTCAAATGAAATAGAATGTTTAATAATTGTACAGTGATTAAATTACCTTCTTTTAAAATCACAATAGTCATTTAGTATTATGTATTATGTACTGGATATTTAAGTGCCCATTTTACAGCTCAGTTTTTAACAAAATTGTTGCTACATTGTTTTTAAGATTTTTTTATTGCAAATTCCCTGTTGTGGATTTTGAAGACATGGAAGCAATGGATTACAGTGATGAAGAGCTTATGGAAGATACAGAAAGTATTGATAATGCAGCAGAAGAAGATGTGTCCACTCCTGAAAAATACAGTCTAAAATGGTTATGGAATGCATACAGCAGGATAAAGGATTTGGGGTAAGATATTATATGTGATTCCTAATTTTAGAGAACATTATACTTATTGAAACTCCTCTACTGTACTTGATTCCCCTTTTGCCATACTATCTCATTGACCTGCAGAGTCTGCAGAAGCTAGCATATGAAAAAGCAGCCTGCAAAAGTGGTAAACATGCTGTCATGCTAGACTTTCACTCTGTGTCTGGGAGTTGACCAGTCAGAGCCACAAGCATGCACACACGCTCGCTGCTTTCCATTGCTTCTCAATGAGCTGTAGTACAGCTCACTGAAAAAGGGATAAGGCCAGGAACAGGATGCCTGCAACTCCCTTTAGCTCTGTGCAACTAACAAAAGCAGAAGAAAACCTCACCAGCTGTCTGATTTTGTCTACACCAGTGTCAACACGTTTATAAACTTGGAAAAAAACAGTATACTCCAGACACTTGAAGCACTTTAACAAGTGGAAGTCTGGAGTGTTCCTTTGAATGGATATTTTTCATTTGGAAAGAGCATGAAATTTCATCTATACATTGTGCTAGCAAGAAGTAAAGATTGGGAGAAAACATGTTTTCAAGGAATGATTCATAGGAAGAGCTCCATAGGACGTCCTTCTGCTCTTCGCCCATAGCAACTTCAGCACTGGAGATGTAGTTGCCATAGTAACTTCCTAGCCAAAACTGCATGTGATGGCTAGGGAGTATAGCAACAAATTTATGTCACTCCTGTCAGACACTGGCATGCTGGTAATGAAACCAGATTCTTGGCGTCATGGAGATGGTTTACCCTGCCTTTGGAAGCATCCACAAGTGCTGTTCATCCCCAAGATTGTATGCAGCTCGAAGGTTTGAAGGGCATTGGATTTTCATGTTTGTATGTGAGTCTGAGTGTATTTATATAATTTTTTGTGCTTGTATACAGGTGATACTCGAAAAATTAGAATATCGTGCAAAAGTTCATTTATTTCAGTAATGCAACATAAAAGGGGAAACTAATATATGAGAGAGACGCATTGCATGTAAAGCAAGATAGTTCAAGATAGACAAATCTTTCCAGAAGCTTAGAGGAAAAAGGGAGCAGGGATATGGGACA